CATACTTTTTAGCAGCGGCGATCGCCGCGATCGCCAGTAGGAGGACCAGCTCGCCCCAACACAACTAGATGGACGTATTGAAAAACTTGTTGGAAAGGTATTTTCATGCGGTTTTTTCTTTCTTCCGCCTAATCCTCTTCGACGTACCTCACCTCTCATTCCCCCTACCCTCCCCCCGACCTCGCCCCCGACTCCGCCCCTCACCGCTCCCTGAATCCGCCCCATTACTTCATCACTCCTTCATAACGCCTTTCACCTCCCCGATTTCAGGGAATTCCCCCGCCGACTCAGTGGAGTGTGTCATTAGGTCCGCCTGGGGCACCATGTACTCAGTGTGTCATTAGCCTCCGCCGCCGAAATCTGGCAAAACCAAGAGAGCCGCGCGTGACACGCGCCGCGCGGAACGGCTGTTAGCATAAACGGTAGGCGGAGCATGGACGAATTAGACTTTCCCACGGCCCTGTACTCTAACCCCGTGCAGTTTCGGGAAACCACGACACATCGACAGCTGGGGGCTGATAGTCACATACACCCTTAATGCGTGTGAGCGTACCATGAGTCTTCAAAACTAGAGGTCACCTCAGAGTTGTTGATGATTTTCCGCTTTCCGTCCCTTATTGTCATTAAGATTTCTCACTTCGCTCATCTCACGGATAAAAGTTCGGCTGCCTCAAAGAATGCTCATCTACAAGCTCCTCTCTTCTCACAACCTCGGCATAGTAGGTTGTTATTTGTGTCAGTTCTTCTGTGCCTTTACGAGGTTGGTGGGTGAAACTATTGAATGGGCCTAACGTTTCGACCCGTTTCGTTTCGACCCGTTTCTTCGAAGGCTTAAAAGTAAACTCGGGGGAGTTTGTTCTCTGGATTGCTTGGACTTCTCTTCGAGGTTCCGACGGAACGTCGGAACCGCTAGAGAAGATGAGGCGCTTGGTGGATTAGACCATAAATCGGAACTTCGAACCACTTTTAGGCCTCCGAAAACGACGAAACGGGTCGAGACGTTAGGCCGATTTAATAAAGTTCCACCTACTAACCCTCGTAAACCTACAGAAGAACTATACAAAATGCTCATGATCTTCAGATTCCAGCAAGGACTGCCCAATATCTGTCAAACACTTGAGGGAGAAGGGTGCTAGTAGACCTAACAGCGGGTCAGTTAGAACTCTTCCCCCCGTTCCCCGTCCGCACCGGTCCAATAAGATCAGGAGCGTAGGTATAGGTGGCATCGAAGGAATCGTCGTAACATGTGCCGCTTAGTGCCTCATAGAGCCGTCAAGTAATCGCGGAAAGGGATTATGCCTTCCATCTTAATCGATTGCCAATATATTTTTTATGCGGGACCCGTAATGAAGAAAAAACTCGAGAACTGGTAAAACTAGGGTTGACGTGGGTTTGGCGCGGTGCCAACCCTTCTCCATCAATTGTTAGAGAGAGCAAGTGACAACAGTTTGCAAAGGACTGGCGTCGCGCCTCAGCATCCGTAGCGAACAGGACTGTACATATCCCTGACTAAGATGGTGACTGCCTACTCCGATTACGTCTGAGTATGCATCTAGTGGAATAATGCAATTTTGGGACCACCAGTCGGATCGCCTGGTTTCGCTGGGCGATCCTTCTTTCGCGCGTGAAGCTGTGAAGTGGGTGTCGCCCTAGAGTTCCCGGGCGATCCTCTTTCCGCGTATGAAGTGGGTATTCCCCTAGAGTTTTCCTTGTGGGAGTCGGATCGATCACCCCCCAGAAGGCAGTCGTCCAAATTTTTTGCCAGGGTACCCTCATTAGAGTTAAGGATTTGCCGAATGACGGGTGTGAAACGGGTGTCTCCTTCGCGATTCATCTACCTACCCGTTGCTCAGCTTCACTCAAACTCCCCAATTCCTGCGCTGCTTCAGATCCTTTTTGAGAATTTTTATTCTTAGTTTCGTCTACTTCGGCGAACAACCCACCCACTGGGGCGGAGCTTAGGTGACGTTGCGTGTGCTCTGCAGAATACTGGCCCATGTCACGTCTATTCCAAGCACAATCAGTGCCCTTAAAGTGAATCTTCCACGAAACCCCAATTTTAGGCGGTCAGACAAAAGCACAGGCACACAAACAACTTCTGCTTTATATATAGAGAGATTGTAGTGGTGTATTCACCCGACACAAGACAAGATGAGAGTTTTTTCAAAAGAAAACATCCCACGTTAAACGCTTCATACACCATGTTCAAATACCACGCCTTCCACCACGCCTTCCATTTTCCCAGGAAACGGAGTATATGTACAGTGTAAGCAGACCCGTTTCTCTCGTCTGGGAGCTATCGGGTCCGGATAGAAGGCAGTGTTCTCAACGTTAAGTGCACATAACGAGCACTTTGGAAAAGCTGTCACAATTAAAGGTGCAGTTACCTTCCAAAGGCGATTAGCCAGGTATTGTTACTTTGAAAAAATCCATCAAAACCAATACTCAGGACATCCGGAGTGAATTCTGCAGTTTCAAGCGCACCATGTAATGGCGATTTAAATGGGCGAAATCTCGGTGGAGGTTGAGAATGCCCCACCCTACAATCCTCTTGTAGATCACGACACGCTTTTGTGCCATAAGAGTCATCAGCTAGTAGAGTGCGGACAGGTAGACAGGTCATGCAATGAGCGACGTCCACCTTCAAGTGATCGTACACCATGCTATTCAGCTTACCATTAGATGTGGAGATGAGATCATTTCGTTGCATTGTAACTACTTGGCACATACTGCACAGAGCGGATTCCTTTCATACGACTCGGCAAGTCAGAATGAAAGCCGGGCACGTGGCGTATGTTGCAGCTGGTTGCTGGTTCTGCTCACGTTATCATTTTCGCTCTTTCTTCACCGCCTCGCTATTTCGAAAAATTAAGGAAACTTCAATCTTTCCGGACTATAAAATTGAGATATTGGTCGTCTCTCCCTTAACATGCGTTTATTTCAGGACACGCACCTCTTGCCGGTTATGAGCTCACCACTACGTCGATATGCAAGGCATCTTGCTGGGAACATCCGAAATCTCGTCTATCGGTTGTATCCCCAAGGTTTGCACTGATGTTTGTGATATGATCAAGCCTATTAAAGGCAGTTGGCACGATAAATCCCCCAAGACGACTAGGATCAATACTCCTGGCAGGATAGAATTCCGCGACCCTGGGCAGGCGCTGCATAGCGGTTTCCCCGAGGAAGGTGCCCTTATAAGGGCCCTATCAAGCCACAACTTTACGCCCGCCACGCCCGCCCGCCCACAAATGGACGACCGTTCCTGACGCTCGTATTCATTCATTTGCTAAGCAAATTATGAAGCGAAGGGATTGGTATGAAGCGGCCGTGATGCTGCATGCATACATGGGTACACATATGCAGCCGTATCTTCGGTAGCGGTGATTGGCAAGATGCCTACGGGAAACTCGTCCGAAATCGATTTTCAAGTCACTGAGAACGGAGGCTTTTTCTTCGCAGGATTTTGACCGTTTCACTCCGTTCTTTCGCCATTTCCCCACTATACAGCGCCCTACTAGCATTTTAGGCTAAGTAGGAAACCATCGTGCCAACTGCCTTTAAATAACATCATCGAACCCCTCAAAGAAATGATTCCACAAACTGACTTCTGATCTCATCCACGTCCTTTAAGGAGTGACATCGCCGCAGCTTTTGGACGTTCACGGAGCTCGACAGAACGAGGACGACTATTGCAGGCCGACGGGGGTAAGCGCATTCTTACGATCATTGCAGTTTGGACGAATACATCATGTACAAGAAATAGACATTGGTTGCTAGGGAAAAGGAGTGTCAGTGAGGCTGCGTTTGGCGCGCCGCCAGCCTCTTCTCTACTAGCTGTTGGAGCGAGTAGGCGACACAGCTAGTATAGAAGACAACAGTGTAAACGGCTCATGCTAACGATGTGATACGTTCTTTTCGCTTGCAGAAAAAAAAGGAAAGAAACGGGCTGGCGCCGCGCCAAATCGATTTCCCTTTACACATCCATTTTCCGCAGGAAACGAGACTGTAAACGGGATCTTTATTGATCAGTAAAAGGACGAGGTCCACTGGAGCGCGAGTACGGAGCCGACTCCTTTTCGAAAACGACTTCTGTCCACTCCACAGCACTGCTGTGATGACGAAAAAAAAATATAGAAATATTTTCAGCCATAGAGTCTATCCTTCCTCTCTATGGTACGAATTGCGGTCTTTTTTTGTTCAAAGGTAGATTTCGTGATGAACCAGCGAACAGTTAGTAAGTAGCTTGGTTGAAGACCAAAAGTGTACGTAGAAAAAGACTCTTCCGCAAAAGGCAAAAGGAGAAAAAAGAGTTGGAAACGCTCTAAATAAGGCCCTGCTTGGGGCCATCGAGAGAAAGAACCAATGGATCGGGCGAGAGTCCAGAGAAAGCAACGAGAGAGCATGCAAACAAGTAAGACAGCAGATAAGACATCTATCAGGTGGGCGGAGTCACTGACTTTTTGGCGGAGTCACTTGAGCAACCTTGTGCTTTACCGCCGCTACCTTACCACTTTGACGTGAAACTTGTACAGGATTGTTCGCTGAGTCTACTACCTCCCCTATGAACGGCTTAGATAGTTAGAGTGATTGTGGGCTCTGTCTTCGTGTCACAGTATGACTTACTGCTCCTTCAGTTCTCGTCTCGCGAGCAGTTCGTCTGCCACAACGGTGGACGTTGTTACAGCACCAACGACGGACCGAAATGTGATTGTACGCTAAGCGAGTACGATGGGAAACACTGTGAAACAGGTAAGTTACGCCTCGTTGAGTTCTGAACCTGTAAAAAAATGAGCATCCGCACTCACTTCCAGAGAAACTCGACTCCGAGCTGACATTTTCGGGCCAAGAGTGGGTGGGATATGACGTTTCGGACACCTCTGCTGGTCCACTGAAGGCCAAAGCCGAGAATTTCTCCCTATCATTCAAGACTGTTCACGGATCGGCGATGATATTCTTGTTGCGGCATGAAAAGCGTTGGTCTTCAGCGTCTTTGTCACTGCGGTTACCTCGCTATATGCATTAAATTGTTTGATTGTGAGAACTCGTCCGACCTAGCGCCCCCTTACGCTCGCACAAGTTCAGCATGGGATTCTGCATTTGACATATCGGGCGGGGTTTCCTGCTTTTTTTCTTCACCTTTGTGTTATAGCTCGAAGGAAAGGGCGGGTCATGGCGGGGTGAGTTGGGCGGTGCCAAAGTTCTCACCAGTTGTGGAAGCGGAGCAAGTGACAAGACTGTATCATATCGTTCGTTCGTATCACTAGTTTTCTACCAACTGTTGTCACACACTTGTTTCAACAACTGCAGGAACGAGGTTTGGCGCCGTGGCACACTCATACTGCCTGACACGCCCCTTCATTCGCAGCGAACCAGACCACGTACTTGTCACCTGAGCCGTTGAAATTACCGTTTTATAGCAGAGCGTGTCTTTTGGAGTCTGTGTTAGTTTCGGTCAAACTGAATTAACTACAGTTGTTCCATCGATCAGGAATCGAGATCATGTCAAAATGGAGTCAATTTCAGAGTTACATGCAGCTCTACCTTGAGGAAGGCGCCCTCATAGCCAGCTCAAAATTCGCCGGTACTGCCCACACTTGTTAAGGAATTTTCAACGAGTTGCACGGCGAGTTCGATGACGACTCTTGGCAAACCTTGTCTATGCAATAACGAACTTCTTCAAATGCGTTCTTTTGTTTAGTTATCATTGCATCGCAGCATACTTTGAGGTGGCTGACTTCTGCACATTCTAGTAGCCTTAAAGTCTAACAATTTGACCAGGGGGATTTCCTTTTTTTGGTCGAAGAGTTTTTCCCCATGATATCTCCATTTCTTTTGATATGGTTACTTTTCATTAACTACGATGACTTTTCAACAATTCCTTTTCCAGATGAGAATCTAAGAGTTTTGTCAGGATCACTTAAAGACAGTTCCCGCGATCAGGTTAGTCCGCAGAATGCCCTCGTGCATTTGGCACTCGGGATCTGCACTGTCAGAGAATGTACCACTTTCGTCACTCGAACGGCGTGATAGAAGCTAGAGACGCCGTGAATTGTGTACTGCGAACACGAATATTTGTTCTGCAAGACCACGACTCACAATCGGAATTGCGGACGTACATTGGTTACTGGAGCGTCTTAGGGCGATTTTCTATTGCGCGTGTTTTGCACGGCGAGTTTGCTGACTGACTGGATTGCCCGACATCCAAAAACTCGTCCAAGGCACCGGACCCACTGCTGAGGAGGACGGTCTTTGTTTAGAGTGTTTTCAAGGTTTTTTTTTCGTTTCTTGGTCTACTGGGGAGTTGTTTACGGGCTACTGGTTCCATGAATAATCACCCACCACACACTTGATCGCTGAATTGCTCTTTAACATGACTCTCGAACACGCTGGTAAAGAGAGGGGAGTTAGGCGTGAGAGATGTTGATAGCGGAAGCAGTTCCTATCAAAACGCTCCTTCGGTCTTCTGAGCATCCGTAGTTTTTTTTATGACTGTGAGGATCTGCTTTGCTCTTTCAACCCATAACTTGATCCATCAAGTGGTAGTTTGGTTTTCTTTTATATCCAAGAGTCGCAAACGGGAGTTTCGACATGGGCAAGATTTATGAGGGAAAGGAAGTTGCCCCAGCAACTCAACCGTTTCGTGCTCCCAAGGCGAAGCTAAATTAATTTCAACAATTTTTGGGAAGTTCTATTTTAATGAAATTTTTCCAACCCCGCAGTAGACTCTTTATTTATGTTTTCAGAGATTTAATCTTTCCAAGATCTTCTGATCTTTTCCATGATTTAGCACAAAAAAAAGATAAAAGGCGGAGGAAGCGTAGTGGCAAGTGGTATACTCGAGATCCCTGAGATCGTTTGTAGCGGGGCTGATTCTCAACTCACCTCAAGGTGTTATTGCTTTGGTGGAATATTTCATCTTGACAACTTTGCGCTGTCTCTGTCCAACACAGAACAAGATGACAGTTGTTCCAGACTGGAATATTCCACGAGTAACCAATTCCGTGCCATGTTCGAATGCCACGCCTACTCTGGCTCAGGGATAAGGAGTGTATTGTACTCTCACCACGCGCTGGTACGGGGGTCAAACGTCGGCTCCGCTCACGCCAGGCGACCACTCCTTCTACTCTCTGGACGCGTAGATTGATACCGGCATTCATGTGGGAGGGAAATAACATTTGCAAGGCTGAGCTGTGCTCATCCGAACAAATCTCAAGATACATTTATTGGTTTCATATCTGTTAGATGGGTCAGAAGGTCCTTCTCAAGCGTACGGTAAGCAAGCCTGTGGTATAACTCATGCGTTGTACCAGGGGTTTGAAATTTGACCCGCTGTTCTTTTCATTGAGACTTGAACTCCGCTATTTTTCCTAATGGTTGCAGACGGGTACTACAACCGAAAAATCGAAATTACAATTGCTCGCCCGGAAATCGACCGACGTAGCCGTCTGCCATAGATTCCTGATGAGGACAAGTGTGTAGGGGCCCGCGACACATGGCAGCTGACGTGCATTATCTTTTGAATAGGTTCTTAAGGACTTGGGCACATACCTAAGCATAAGAAAAGTTGGCGTTGTCGCAGTCTGTCCAACAGTTGTCAAGCGGCATGGAATCAGTCCCAGTGACAATTCCGTCACTTGGTTACTTTCTCCCTAATCGGAGGGGCTAACCACTTTTCTATTGGTGAAAATGGTGGCCAGAAGCGGGCCTCCGCCGCCCCTAATACCGCCACGACTGATTGCTACTATATTACTAAGAGGAGAAAGCCGGTGACATTTCGACCTGACATTCTGTTAAGTCCCACCTTTTTTTTAAGGACCGAATCTCCTCACGTACCTCACGAAAGGCTTGGAGTCGGGCACAGGGAAAGTTGCAATGTCCACCGGTTGGAGCGGAGGATGGACCGTAATACCCGTTCCCATCAGTAGGGGTAGTCATTCACAATCAAGTGGTTTGCCTGCAACTCCCTGCTCTGCTGCGGGTGAGCCGCTGCGGGGTATGACAGCACAGTTGAAGGCAAATGAAGGTGCAGCTAGGAATCCCAACCGGCAATAAAGTGCACTGACTAACACTCAACTCTGAAAACAAGTAGTGTGCATGTTTTTCTAGTTTATTCATTAACACCTACTAATTTATGAATGATTTCAATTCGCTTCCGCTTCAGCACTCTGATAGGATTTCTGCAGTACATGTAAGTTGTTGGTGATGACTCTTCTATTTGTTTTTCCAACTATTTCCTTTCGGGCTGTTCAATACTGCTTTGTTCACTTTTCGGGTCTGTACCTGATTTGAGATGCACGCCCCTCTGCACTTTGCTAACCGTTTGTTTTTAGTTGGAATGAACTGTTTTGCTTCTTTTTCAATGATGATTGAAATGGATTGATTGATTGAGCGGAACGATTGAAGATATGGGTTTCGGCACTATTTAGCTATTATTACTTCAGAACTAATTTAAAAATATTTTCTATCTGAAACTTTGTCTACAGGGGTTATTCCGTAAGCTGATCATGAAAATGACATTTGTTTCTGGGCTGGCACCATTGGGCCCCACCTCCTCCTCCACTATGGTCCAGAAAAACTTTAATACGGCGCTTCTTTGACGTGCTCACCACGAATAAGACACTCATTTTTGAGCGCTAGTGAAAGGCACCATGATCATTAGCGCCAGTGAAAGGCACTGTGATCATTGGCGCTTTGTTAGGCAATACTCAGGCTTCGATGACTCGCAACGACTCCTGCGCTGTAACGCGCTGCAGCGCGCGTTGTCGCGCAACAATGCATCAGCGCTCCAGTGCTGTAGATGCGAATGCAGTCGCAGACGGGAATCAATCGGCCTGCCCTTTGTAGCGAGAGCATGGTGAAACAGTAGGGTAGCCTTGGCTGATGAGACTATCTGGATTGATCGGCTCTTGTTGCTAGGGCTTTGAGAAGGTTTAGAAGGTGTGAAAGCAGCGCCAGCCCTCCTGTTATCATATACTCTCTCACAAAACACAAGCGGCCGGCGCTGAGAATGAAGCGCTATTGCAAATGTAGCGCGTCGACGCGCGTTACAGCGCGCCGACGCGCGTTATCGCGAATTCTGAACGCCGCCTTAAGGTTGAGCATGGTGGTATGCGAATCAGTCCTCCTCTTTAACCTAACTGACTTAGCAGAGCGCTGAATGGCGCTGGCGCTTAAAACGAATGTGATATTCGTGATCAGTGGACCAAGTAATGTTGAGGTGCAAATTTATACAGAATTTGGTCAAATAGTTGATGGCGCCGAAATGGCGCCCAATCGCCTTAAATTGTGCTGGCGCCGAACAGTGTGGTGCTCGTGTTCGCATCGATTACCCGTAAAGGCAACGTTTCAGCAAAAAAGTCTTTTCGGTTTTCGGAGTAGTAGTAGTTCAATAGTGCTGAATTTTTTTTTGTTGGAATGATTCTAAGTTCAGAGTGAAGCTTACCGTTCATTTTCCCATATTTCGGTTCCCTTTGCAGGAGAGACTTTGGCTCGAATCTCTAAGCAGCTCTGGGATTCTATGGGATCGTTTTATGTAGGCGGAGCCAAAATAATCACTACATTTTAGCTGACATTAGTCGTTGACGGACGCAAAGACGAGATTCGTCAGTACGCGCCAGAACTCGATTGGATTGGCCATTCGTTCGCCTACCTCGGTTCCGTTCCTCTTGAACGGCACGTTGCCGGAGTCACGAAGAATGCCTTTCGTGGTTGTGTGAAGCAGGTAAGTAAATGACAGTGATGTGATAAACAGCGTGCCCATCATGTGCACGTGGGGGGGGGGGCAACTGGTTCGATTCTAGCAGTGAGAAAGTACGCGGTTCACAATAGTTCCTCATGCGTACAGTCTTGTTCGCTGCGGCTGCTGGTGCATGCCAGGGGCTGGGTTTATGGAGGAGCCAGTCTGTTCTCCACCTACTGTTAAAGCAAGCAGGCGACAGATGAAAACAGGCTGGCGTCGTGACACATTCGCCGCCCCCCGCCCCCCGCGGTACCCCCAGCATCCACAGCAAACAAGGCTGTTACTGTACTTGAAGAGATGAAGGGCAAGGGTTCCTGGGCGAATCCCTAGAATTCGAGACCCAATAGTCACCGAACAAATTCAGGTGAAATACGACGCCGATGCGCAGCGTATACTGTTCGTCACACTGGCCGATCAGGGTTTTGGCGGTAGTATCATCAAAACAGGTAACTCACTTTTACGGAGACAAGAACGCTTTCTTTTTTTTTATTCTTTGCCAATTTTTCGGTAATTCTGTAATGATCGATTATCGATCGATTTACAGGTGGCGAGTTGTCGTTCTCCTGCAAAAGCCCAACGCAACCACCGGATGTGTTGTCGTTTCATTCTGGCTCGTCGTTTCTTGCTTTGCCGAAGTGGGGCGCTCTGGCCAGTGGCAGTCTGTGTAAGATTATGGATTATTCGCTTACCTTATCGTATTCATACTGAAGAACATTTGCGGGTCGCGAGCGTAATTCCCAGGGCACATCACTAGTTGGGATTCTGGTTACGTCCATAAGAGCCCCCCCCCCTAAAGAGGTGGCTTCATATGACCCTCTTAGTTCCTTCCTCCAATCGAGCTGTCGAGAGGGGGATGTGGTGCATATGAAGCGGTTAAAGTCGCGAAGAAAAAACGACACCCCTCCCATCTAACCTATCACTTTCTTAGATTTTCCTCGACTTCTTCTTAGTTTTTTCCTACCTTTTCCCCCCAAAATTTTGCTGTCAAGCGGGGGGGGGGGGGAAGGATTAAGCACAGATAGAACACCAACAAAAGTGGAAAAACCGCGAAAATTTCGCAACCGAAAAACGACCCTTCCCCGTCCCCAACAACGATCAAATACGACCCTTGTTTGAAAATCCCAACGATGATATGCCGCGGTTCTTCCAGTCGAAATAAGGACTTTTCTGTGTATTTTGAAATGTTGAGTTTCCAATAACTGCTCAGCTATGTTGTGGTTCACATGAGGAACGTTTTTCAGTGAGTCATCTGGCTGGAAGTAGGGACGCAGTAAGGGAGTGTTAATAATTTCCGTAAGCAATGTATTAGTCTCCAAAGTCCGCGACTCGAGTAGATTGCCCTCTTCACTCAATGACAGAAGCCACCAAGCCCAACCCTCCAGCGACGACAACAAACGTCAGCACTGTCGCGAGTCGCGCTCTCTTCCCAAGCATTCCGCACCAGGAGGAAAAAAGCGGCTCACACGAGTTCAACCACTCTTACATTGAAAGCCTGCAAAATAACTACACAATAAGTACTGACGAAGACGGCAATGGAAGTACTGACTCATAAAAAATGCTCTTTAGAAATTTATTTCAGCATTCCATTTCCGAACCACGGAGAAAGATGGACTTCTTCTTTACCACGGTAACACCGGCAAAGACATCACCGACTACGTCGCCTTCGAGCTCATCGATGGTCATCTTCATATGATAATAAATTTGGGAAGTGGAGCCGTCCGTTTACAGGTGCGATAGTCATTGAAGAAAATTCAGCGCTAATAATATTGCAAGTCTTCTTACTGATAATCGACTTTTGAACCCATTCAGCTTCTGCAAAGTTGATCTATGTACAGTCGTTTTTCTTGCAAATAAGACGGCGTGCGGAGGGGGGGGGAGGTGGGCGTGGAAGCGCCGCTTTTTTCCACCAATCGTACCGTCTTGAGCGCGCAATAACTGAGGATGGGAAAGACTACCCTGACTGCGCTTCATTCCACGCCCCTTCAAACACGTTCTCGTTAGCTTGGATAATGACTGTATTCGCCCGTATATGTGTCCATATCGGAGGGCTAAGGAGATGGAGCCGGGGAACATCGTTGTTGGGGATTTCCCAACGTATTTGGTCGCCGGGAGAGGGAGGGAGGGGTCGTATTTGGGCTGAGAAAATTTTTTGATAGCTGATTTTTTTGGTTCGCAGAAGTTATAGTGAGACCCTATAGTGAGATTTTCCTCGCGCTCCCCCTCCCCCCTGTCCCCCCCTCCCTCCCCGCTCGACAGTTTCAGTCAGGGGAGGGAACTTGGGGGGGGGGGGATCGTAGCACTCCTAAGAAAAGGGAGCGTACGGACACCAAAATCCCCAGCTAATGATGTGCCCTGTATGGAGCTCTGTGAGGGCTTCTGGGCGAAGGTTCGCTTTGCTCTTCATACCGGAACCTGTAATTTCTGGAGTAAGATCTTTGTAACACAGGGAATCCACGCAGTCTTAGATCATTAGCAGATTTCTTCAGACAACTGCAAGACACGTGTCTGACGGCGACACCTGGCATTCGCTTCATCTGGAACGAGTAGGGCGAACGGGTAGCGTGATCGTCGACAGCATGAAGACCGACTTCAACACGCCTGGTGTTTCCTCAAATCTTATCGTCGGTGAGTTCTGATTCTACAGAGACCCCTCCCTATGCTTATTGAGCAGCAGTACATCATTATGTTGTGGAAAATGTATCCAAGGTGGGGCTCCCTCCCCGCAATCGTCAAATACCGACCCATGTGACATCTGCAGTGATGCATTCAGTGGCTCGAAGGCAAACTCCACGGTGATCAAGGGGTGAGGTCGCTAGGACCAGGTTTTTTTTCGTTGGTGGATTCTCGCAGGAGGGGTACATCTATGAGGAGACCAAAATAGTCGACGTGACTGCACCCATCCGATAGGCGTATAGTGAGCCTTTCAATTCCTTTACAAGCCATATAAACCCCCATGACAATCAAAACAAACCAGTGAACATTTATTAATTCAGATGATCCCATCTATCTTGGCTGGGTGCCAAACACTACAGTTTCCTTCCCATCGAGCATATGGTCCGTGTCGCTGGGTAAAGGATTCATCGGCTGCATGAAGAACTTGCGTGTGAACGGTATCAGCGCTCGAATCGCCACCGTATTCGAGCATTCAAATGCAACAGGTGGGTCCAGTACAGCTTGCTGGGAATGTTCTCGGATTTCTTATGAGGTGCTTTAGGCATAACAATCGGATGTCCTCCAATGCCGGCTGTCAATCCGTGTGCCAACAATCCGTGCCATAATTTTGGCACCTGTGAACCATTTCAGAATACGTTCACTTGTGATTGTGCTGCCACCGACAAGGAGGGTCCTACATGTAATATAGGTGCGATCAGTTGTACTATAGACCTGAATATCTCGTAGAAAAGATAGTAAGTTAGCACATTCCGCCATAAGGTACATGTTTCAGAGCCGACGGTTATTGAGCTCACAGGCGAACGCCTCCTTCACATCCTCCCTTACACTCTCGAATCGGAGGCGGAAACGATTGAAATCAGATTCAAGGTGATACCTCCTACCGCCTACTTTTTGATATATTTTCATTGAAATTCTGCTTTTTAAGTCAGATTCAAGGAATACTTCGACTTTTTACTGTTTCATAGTACTATCAAAAAATCTAGTCTCAATCTCATAAGATCTCAGGGGATAATGGGCCGCGTACTCCACTCCATGAAAATTTCATTTCTGTTCACTTGTTCAAATTTCAATGACTTTTGAGTGTAATTTAGCCCACGCACCGGTCCTCGGAGGCGTGCCTATGTACAGTCAGCGTAAGGTTTAGTTGGTGAAGGCGGAACGGATCTGTGGTCCGAAAACAAACTGTGCACTCATCTCCGAAGATCCTTATCGTTGTTGTACGCGAGGTGAATGGATCTGCAGAGAGTGTCACTTTCTTCGCTGAAAGGTCCATAATAAGGGGAGTGGAAGGTAGTGACACTGGGGTGGCTTCTCTCAACTCACCTGCGCTGCCGTACGGCCAGCCATACGCGTAAGCTAGCCAAAGCCGCCACTTATCTGCCCTTTCTCACTCCTAATTGTCTGCTTCTGACCAGGGCACGCCATCGCGTTGTGATCATTTCCTGAAAAATACGACCCCCCCTAATTCCATCCTCAAATACGACCCCCTCCCCATGCTACCTACCACTTTCCTAGATTTTCCCAACTTCCTATCACTTTTTCCATTTTCCCGAAAAAAATTCCAGTTTTTCAGCAAAAAATTTTCCGTGAAGCGGGGGTAAAGGGGTTCTATACCCAATGTGAAACAGGGAAAATTCTCTCAGATTCTCCCAACCTCCTACCAGTTTTTCCGAATTTCCCGAAAAATTTCTGGTTTTTCCCCAAAATTTTGCTGTCGAGCGGGGTGGAGGAGAGGTCGTCATGATTTAACGATTATTTTCAACTATAGCAGTAGTTGTATAGATCTTTGGCAGTCCCTCTCCCAACAACGACCAAATACGAACTCTCCTCCCTCGCGGTCAAATACGACCCCACCCCCTGTTGTGATCATCACAACGATGGCGTGCCCTGTCTCTGACTGCGTGTTCGCTACGGGTTTTTAGAGGTGAATTCGAGGGTTTCACTTTGAAGGTAGCAGGCGGAGTTAGGAGAAGGCACCTGGGTATCATTACCATTCTGCTCAATTCCCGTGCTTTTTTGGGAGGAGAAATTGGCACGCTGCTGCAGCTGCGTACCCATTCACCTGCACGGCACGGGCAATCCTCAAGGGTGAGCATGCAGTTTATCTTAATGCGCCCTTACCTCTGAAAACATCGAGACAACGAAGGGATTGGGTGCGCTCACGAAGAAAAGACATGGTTGCGTTTCCGTTTCCGCCATGTATCTGTACTTTTGAGAGATTTTGTCAAACATTGGCTGCATTGTTCCATGGACCACCAGTTTTTCTCCTTAAAAGTATCACTCTGGATCGATCCCTGTCCCTGAAGGCTCCATCGATGGGCGCCGGCCGTTCGTGTCTTGAGTCTCACCTACCACCACCTTTCCCAATACTCTGTCAAGACTCAGCACTGTTGTAATTGCTGCGCTTTAACGCGCGTTGCTGCGCAGTAACGAGCTTTGCCACGCTTTAACACGCCTCGCTGCGCAGTGACCGCGTTGCAGCGCTGTACAGCGCGTTGAATCTGAACGCTGCATAAGCGACAACAACTAGTGGAAAACGACTGTTTGACTTGTTGCAAAATGTGTGATGCAGTC